TTATGTGGTAGCTATTACTGTCTCATCTTACAGATGGTGAGATTCGCTCAACCTAGCATAAAATATTCAGACAATTGGGCTTCTCCAACTATATTTATTTTTAGAGAAACTGAACCCATGATTCAGAGTTTGCTGATGTTTTTATCTCCCTGACTAGCTTTGTAGGAGCTCAGCAATGGTATATAAGGTGCAGAGACCTCTGGACATCACTTGTCCTCGCCTTGCAAGCCTCCCCTCTTCTTTTTGATGAAGCAGCTCTTTTCCTTTGGAAGCTCCACGTGATTCAGGTGGGGCACCAGCCAATCACCATGCCTGCTTCCTCCAGGGCCTTTGAATCCAGGGAACCCCAGGGCTGGAATGGAGATGAGTGGGATGCTGCCCTGTTTACAGGTCAGAAGTGGTTCTCTGGAGCCATCATCTCTCATTTAGAGGAGTTGCACGACGGCTCCCGTGCTCCTGCATCCCGTCTGTCCAACTGCGTTGCAAGCTGGCCAGTGACTGGCTCACATGCTTTCTTACGTGATACTCAGCAAATACTGTAGTTAGTGAAAAAGGAAAAAGTCCAAAAGAAGAAAATGGCTGAGGAACAAAGAGTGAATAATGCAATGAGGAAGGTAAAGCTATAGAAGAGCAGGTTACCAACTGGGATCTATTCAAAACAGACCAGGGAGCTAGTCTATTCAAAGGAAGCCCAGGAATCTGAAATCAAATTTTTGGACTGCAAAGAACCAACAAGATGATTTAATTTACATCCTTCCTTCATGACACATCATCACCCACTAATTTCTGTGACCTGTGACTGTGAGCCTTTACGTGTGAAATTTACCCACTATAAAAGAAGGCTCCTGGCCACTTCCTAGAAATACAGTCCAAGAGAGTGGGACCTTGAAAATATGGCCTATCTTTTGGGTGTAAACACAGAAGCAAACAAGACATCTTGAATCAGATTTATGGTGTTACAGCTTGAATCTAGATGTCTATCTAAAGCCTCACATGGTCATAGCTGGGGCTCTTTGGAGCCTGTAGGATGTGGGATGTATAGATATTGATTAAGGGTATAGGTAACAGGAGCCCCACGCTAGGCGTGGGTGGCACCAATCAACAGGCTTACAGCGTAGATGGAATATAAAGGGACAGAAAGAAGGCAGGCTTTTGATACTGCTGGCTGCCTCCTGCCTGCCCTGATAGGGACTGTTTCTACTCTGCGATGCCCCTCTGCCGAGCCTCCCTGCCTTAGAGCCAGCTGACCATGGACTAAAACTTCTACAAACTGTGAGCTAAATAAATTTTCCCTCCTTTAACTTGTGGGTGTCAAGTATTTTGTCTCAGTAGAAAGGAACTGAGACATACGGCATCTTTTTAATGTTACACTTCAACATAGAAAACAGTAGATGATAAGTAGGCAGACAGGATTATTCATTTTGAAACATGGAAGGTGCAGAATGGTCACAGGTAAGGCTCCCTAGAGGGGCTCCTCCAAAGTACTGGAAGGTTCTGGGAGTCTAGTTCTTAAGCTTTGATGTGGTAGGAAGGTAAACACTGGCTTGGCATCAGCGAGCCTAGATTTTCCCCATCAGCTGCAGTTATGTGACCAATGACAGACTCTCACATTCTGATTACCAGATTTTTTCTTTTAAAAAAGTCATAGAGATTAAATGAGATAATGTATGTAAGACACTTTGTTTACAGAAAAGTATAATTTGCATTATTTATTATTTAGCCAACAAATTTGTATAAAAAAACTACTTTAATCTAGCTGTCCCAGACTCAAAGAAATAATCAACAAATCCCTGAGTCCAGCATGCTTCGGTTCTTGACACTTCCCTGAACTCACGTGACTTCAAGAACCAATGCACAGCCTTGAGCGCCCAGCTCTACACCTAGTCTTCCCCAGCTCAAGACTGCCAACAGGGCGGGGAACACGGCAATGCTGTTTTTGCTTCCAAAATTCCTGTGAAGAAGAGGAGGTGGGTTTTTCCTGGGTAGGGCCATCTCCACCACCAGCACCCTCTTTTCTCTCAATCCACACTTTCTGGGTCATTTGTGCGGCTCCACCCTGCCTGGGTGCCGACACCTCCTCCCCAAGCTTCCATTGAAAGAACCAGGGCATTCATCTCCTATCTCGCACCCAGAGATGCTCAGGGCATCTCACAACCCAGCCCCAATTTCTGCCTGGAAAGTTGCCTAGGGACTGTTCAAAGGTCCTTGGCTTTTGTCCAGCAGAACAAATTAGATTCCTATGGGGTGGGACTCCATGGCAGAGTTTGAACAGACCGTAATGATCACCCATTTCACCCAATCATTTGAAATATACTTGTCCTAGCTCAAAAGCCCTGTAGGTGGGAACAAACCCCAGCATTCTAGAAGCAATGCTGCTCATGCGACAGACTGGAGATAAGGACATAACGGTGAATGAAACACTCGAGTTGGCTGTTAAGGAGCTGTGTCCTAGAAAGCATCCCCAGAGACCCTGAACTGTGCTGGCAGAGCTGAAAGGGACCCTAGAAATTAGCACCACCCTCTCACTCAGCAAATGCCACATGCGAAGCACAGAGAGAGCAAGTGAAGTACTCCGGACTATACATTAAGTGGCAGAGCTGGAGTCAGAGCACGGGGCTCTCTGACCCTCCAGACTCTGTGGCCATTTCCAGGACCAAATAAACATGTTCTACCCAGCACCGTTTAGCACGTGCACTCGATCCAACCTGGGCTGCCTCCTTACCCAAGCAAGCGGCACAGCCAGAGGACTCCCCATTTCCCTGCACAGATATGTAGCGCAAAATCAGAGCTGCATCAACTAAGCTGGAACTGAGCTCCCCAAACTGCGCTTTGACGAGCTGTGGATCTGGTAACTATACCAGGTCACTCTCCCCATGAGTAGATGCTCGATAAACACTGTGAACTGACTGATTGATTAATGCACTAATAAGAAATAATGTTTATAACTTCCTTCCTGAACTCACAGCCAAAGCAACTCCACTAAATGGCCTCTTTTCCTCCCTTCTTTTCTCCTTGACTTGCTTATAAATTTTGACACTCATCATGTAACATGTCAGGGAAGCTATTACTTTGGGGGTTACCCTTAAAAAAAAAAAAAAAACACCAAAGTCCATAGAGGAAAATTTCCCTGAACCAAACGTGAACCAGAAAATGTGCACTGACTCATATTACACTCGGTTCTCCAGGGGCTCAGACCTAATGGCCCATTGTAGTGTCAAGAGCTCTTTCCCAGCTTCCGAGAGAGAGGAGAACACAATCCTTTAATCCTGGCAAGAGGTGAGGGTGAGGGAGAGATCCGGGGCAGAGGCCACTGATACGCAGAGGATAAAGTCTGAGCAGGACAGCAACCACGTATCCAGAAGGCTGAGTGTGAGCGCATACAGGAGCAGCTCAGCCTCCCTGCTTATGAATGTTGCGTGGGTACCGAAGATATATATCCTCAGGGCCTTGGAGTAAAAACAGACAGATACCCATGCATAAGGAGAATTCAGTACAGCCAGAGGCAAGCCGGCCTGACTTTCCCTGAAGCTATTTTTATGGAAAACTTCCTTCCTTTATACGAACATACTGCAGGACTAGGTCACGTTAGATAACATGTGTGCACACAGGTGCATGAGTGTGTGCCCGTGTACTTTCACGTGCAGAACCCAGACAGACCTCTGGGCTCCAGCAGTGTCTTGCTCCTAATAGAACTGCATTTTAGGCCCGGCCACCATTGCAAACACTCAGATCCTTGACCAGTCATTTATTTAACCCAAGATAGACAAGGGACAGTGACGTGTCACCAGACAATAGCATGAATGTGGGAAGGAAGATGTGCAGAGCAGTTTCTCCAGAAAATGACTTTCATTCTTTCTAATCCTCTCCCTCAGGGAAATCAGAAGTCAGAGACCCACACAGTCTCAGACCATTCAAATGATTCTGTGGCCCAAATGACATTTTAAGTAACACAACACCAAGATATCTGTCCCTCCTACGGTGACCTGCTCCCCTCCCATTAGGCTGGTTCCCCATAGCTACTCTTCCAAGTGACCATAATAAACTCATCCAGCTCCACACCAAGCTGCACTTTCCTTTTGCAGTAGGAAAACGCAGATCAATACACACAGCAGAAGCACTTAGACTGTTCATAAAACCTCCTGTGCAAATAGTAAGAACATTCCCACGCCAAGCTGACGCAGGCTACTTCCGACGACAGCCTCACCCTGGCCTGAGAGCCACTGGGTGGAGGAAGATAGAGGAACAAAATCACAGCCACAGCGAACCGACCCTAGGTTCAAGCAAAACCCAATCAGGTAACAGGAGAGCGTCGCTGTCCTGTTTGCTTAAAATGCTAGGAGGGACAGGTTTCTTAACATAAAAATCATACAGGGGCGTGAAGGAGGTCAGTGGTTCACACATATATCAGTGTCTGGACAGAGTGACCAGCATCTCCCCGCCAGCTGTAGACAGGAGAGGTGTTTCCTCAGACTCAGTAACCCCAGGGTGTCAAAGGCCACTGTAAATCCCTAGAAGTTCCCCAGGGGAATCTGAGCAGACACGGGGGCACCCGCAAGGAGGATACTAGCCAACCACGCTGCAGGCAGCATTTCCAGTTACCCTGAGAAGAAATCAAACAAACAAATGCGATGCTCCAGCTTTAGATTCAAAAGGCCAACGGGAAAGAACACTGCTCTGGGGGAGGCGCCCAGCGATCTATTTTTGAGGGGTTCCTAGCACCGATCTGCAAGCAGCTCTCTCCAAATAGCCTTCAGCAACAAGTTTCTAAAATGGCAAATCCACGCTTCTTTTGCCTGAGAGTGCTTAGTCATGCTGCCCTCGGACCCAAGAACTCGTTTCCAAAGAGCGTGCCCAGTGAAGCAGAGCGGGGTCTGACATGTCTGCAGCCACTGCGGCGGCAGTTTAGCAGCAGCAGCAGCAGCAGCAGCAGCCCCGGTGCAGCGCAGCGCAGCGCAGGCCGAGGGGCGCCGCCTGGGCCCCACCTCCTCCCACACACTCACCATCAGCAGGCTGAGCGCAGAGTCCGGCACCAGCTGCACAGCCATGGTCTCCAATTCTCATGCACAAACGCTCCCGCCGACTCAGTCTGCCTAGGCATCCACAGCCACCTACAGCACACTGGCTGGAAATTCAGGCTCACGGTGCAAAAGCCTCAAGGTGAAGACAGGCCATGTTTCCGGGGGTGAGCAGGAGGGTGGGGGGCGTTGGAAAGATGGGGTGAATCTGTGCTTAGGGAGAGAGGGAAAAAAAGAAGGAAAATAGGAAGCTGCAGGTTATTTAAAGGTGAGCCCTGCCTGGCTTCTCTAAGATGTACGAACATGGAAACCACATCAAACACAAATGCAGAAGCTTAGAACACGGCATTTTACACTGCTACTTTAGCCTAGGCAACAATGCTTCTTTTAACTGACAATTAGAATAAAACATTCCCTCCTGCAAATACATCACCCAGCCAGCGCAACCCCCCTCCCTGCGTCTCTCAGCAATTCTGCTGCATAAACATGCTGAATGTCACAACCTACCGCTTGCAGTCTGGCCAGAGGCTTCCTCCCTGCAGAAAGGTGTGTCCCTTTTGCAAAATCGAGTGTCTGGGAGGAGACAGTCGAGTCTGACCAGGAGGCACCAGGCAGTCACTGGAGATCAGCAGATGTCCTCACCATCACCAAGGAGAAAGTCACTTGTGAACTGACCTCGTCTGCCTTCCCCAAATCTACTTTTCCTTTCCAGGTAGACCGGCAAGCTCAGTTCCCCCAAAGGGTAACATACTTACAAGGAACATGGAATTCCACTGCCTGTGCTGTTAGCATTCTCAGCTCCCTGCCTGTACCACAACTACGCAGGCAGCACAGACACCCTCTACCTCTCCCTCCCTCCCTCCTCCCTCCCTCCCCCTCTCTTCCCTTCCCTCTCCTCTCTGCACAGGGCTGCCTGGTAGGAATTTTGAGGGATCCTCCCTGGCTCTGGGAGGGAGAGCATAGGAGGCTAACATGTAGGAAGGAAGGGATGCTGCTTAGGACAAAAAGGCAAATTAGCCTTGAAAATCAAATCATGCAGCATTTTCTCTGGAAGATGTCAATAAAGGAAAAAAAAAAAAAAGAAGAAGATGAAGAAGGAAACCTGCTCAATCTTGTTATACGAGTGGCTCAAACAGCTTCCCAGAGTCAAAGATTTAAGAAAATCACAACATCTTTTTTTATGAGTACCGCCAAGTTTGTATCCTCAGGGAGTCCATAATTCCAACTAAAAGTGATGATTACTGATATGTACGTAATATGTTTTTGTGTTTTTTACTGATTTTTTTTTCCTTTACTCACCTGTTACGGTGACTCCAAAAATTATTTGACATTCACTGGACAGTGTAAAATGTAGGAGGAAAGAAGCCAAATTTGTAAATGAGAAACCGGGGGCATAAAACGAATGGCCTTGAAATGTCCCTGTGTACAGGGAGAGCTGCGGCCCCCAGGTGCTTTACACTTTTGAAAGTATTTATTTGATCACCACAGGACCGGCGCAGAAGAAGCTCTAAAAATGTTCACTGCGGGGATGAGAAGATTCCTTTCTCATTGTCTCTCTTGTGGGGACCCAGTGACCTTGCAGGTTGACTCTGTGTTGTGTGCCTGGATTCCAACGCTTTGCCCTCCTGGGACTCTGAGCTATTCCTTGTGACCAGGTACCTAGAGGCTCACAGAGAAGTCTCAGAACTGTGGCCTGGCCCAGAACTTCGAGCAAGTTCCAGACATACTGAGGGCTTCCTAACATTGTTCAAAAGCAATCATTAATATTAGCCTTTTTAAAAGTTACAGTGATTTAAGAAGCACACCCCCACTACTGATTTAAGAAACCTAACCCTAACCAAACTTGCAAGTAGACTTCTGGGTGAATGCAGCAGGTATTTGTGGGAGGCCTACTTTGTACCTCTGCCTCCCTCCAAGGACCTCCTAGTCCATGTGTGAGAGGTATGCAAGCATCCCTTATGACACGAGATGTGACAGATGCTAAAGTGGCTTGGAAACAAATCCTTTGGGTAGCGTGGTAGTGGGAGAGCTTCTTTGACTTTCAAGAACATGGTAGATTTTGAGCTGGAATCTGAGGAATACCAGGGCATCTTTTTATGACTCCTTTTTAATAGTCTCCATGGACTGTATATTCAGAAAATAGAGGAGAAGGGGGCCATTTGGGAGCTATCTCGGGTGGATGTGGCTGGAGGGAACAGCTTCAGGCTGGAGAAGTCAGTTTCCGCGGAATAAGTCACGTTCCCTGCCTCTCTCAGTACTTTGCTTGTGGTTCCTTTTTGCTTGGAAACCCTCGCCCCATTTCTGCGTGAGTGGCAGCCCAGATTGCCTCACAAACAAGGCCTTGCAGCAAGTCTCCTGTGAAGACCGTCTGGAAGGTGTGATCACAGGGCCACAAGAGGACGCTGGGAAGGGATGCAGGGATGGAACAAGAGTGGGCACAAGCTGGTCATGTCCACAGAGCTCAGTAGCGAGGCAGGGCTCTGGCCAGGTGTGGAGGCTCCATTCTTGGGACAGCCCATTGAGGGGAGGACAGAGCAGGAGCTAACGGCCTAGCATTGCCTGTGGCTCTTATAGGTCAAATGGACCGCACCAGAGGTGACCTCCCTATGCTTCAGGACTGTGTTACCTGCACCTCAAGCAGCCATGACAGGCATTATATCTGAGCCCAGAAGTAGAGAGAAAATCTACAGGCTTTGAGAGCCAACTAGAGAGGACCAGAGCACTGGAGTCTTGAGTCTCCTCCCTTGTGTACGTGCTGGAAACCACCCCAAAGCCTGACTGTACTCTGGTAGAGGTGGGGCCAGCTGGCAGCGCTTGGGGCTGAATGACAGTGACAGCAGCCTACCGCGTCTGCTCAGTTCTCAAAGAACCAAGGATCCCAGGGGACACACGGGGCTGGGTAAATCTGGGAAGTATGTAAATCCAGTCTGCTAAAAGGAGTGTGTTTATAGAACTTTCAGTATCAAAAGGTATATGCTTCGGTGAAATGTTTCCTGATATTTCTTATTTGGGCATTCACATTTGCTTTGTTGATACAACTTTTATTTTTTGTTTGTTTGTTTTTTTGGTTTTTCTCCGGTACCGGGAACCGAACTCATGACCTTGCGCTTGCCAGGCAGGCGCTTTGCCGCTGAGCTAAATCCCCAGACCCGATACAACTTTTAAATTAAATGATAGTTATTCCCTGGTCTGTCCTGGAGAGGAACCCCTGGGGTCAGAATCGGCATCGTTCTTCTGCGTTTGCTCCTCCAGCCTAAGTGCCAGGCATGATCAGGAGTCCATGCCCAGCGACATTAAGGTGAGAAATAGTGGAGATGCTAAAGCGTTGAACACAAAGGGAAAGGGTCAGTGACACCCCCCCAAGGGGTCAGGGGAAGGTGGGAGCTTGGGAGGAAAAGGAACGGGCTGACGGAGAGCAGTCAGAGGAGAGCAAGGAGAGCGATCCCGAGTTCTCATGGAGCAACGGACACTGAAGCCAAGCCGCAAGGAATTACAGAGCAGTTGTGGGAAAGAGAATTTACATGAAATAGACCAGGAAATGAGGTCATCAGAAAGCAGGAAATGAGGTGTCCAGATCCTTTGAAGAACCTGAGAGCAAGAAGGATCACAAAAGGTGTGAGGCTCGGCAGTTCTCTCCTCTAAGGAACCAAGTGCCATCCTTGGCTCAGCATATGGTCCAGGAAAGTGCCGTACACAACGCATTTCAGTGAAGCTCCTCCTGAGAGCCCCTCAAAAGAAAGGTAGTTCATTGTCACACCCATCAAAAACCATTACGAAGAGATATGGTACAAAGAGACAAAAAACTTGTCTGTATTTAGTAGGAACTGCGGTTAAGACATCGGCCATGGGCTCATTCACTGCTGCCTGGGTAAACTGCCCACTGTGAGAGATTTTTCTCAGAATTTAGTACCAGGAAAATGTCTGTACTCCTGCGGAGACTTGTATAATGGGGGCCTTGGCCTCTGAATGCCTACTGCACCATTTTAGTCTTGGAAATGTGGATGCCTAGGCTGTCTCTCACTCTATGGTCCAGGGCAAATATGGCAAAGATGATATGAAACTTACAGGACATATTATCGATTACGCCTTCTGTTAAGTCACGTAGAGTAGGCATTCAGTAACTGTTAGTACACATTAGTCCCCCTTCTGTTCCGATAACAACACTCTAATAGCGGTTGGCACATTTGATGGCCGGAATGCCCAAAGCCTAATTTTACTTTCAGTTAAAGCAGATATTATCATAGTTGGCATTATTACTTTCTTCATTTTCCTTGACCTTATTTTTCCTTTTAATGCATACAGCATTACTCTTATTTAATAGGCCTTTTTGTCAATAAGCCATCTGAAATTTGTTTTTGGAAAGAGATAAGACATAAATTATTCTTGAATATATAAACTGCTTTCCAAAAATCTGGCATGCTGTGAAATATTTTTCAGCTATTAAAATGGCAATCGTGAAACTTTTAAGAAATATGGCAAATGACTGAAATGTGTTTATTTGACCATAAATGATACATACATCCTAACCACAGCCATGTAAATATCTGTATTTTAAGAAGAGATAAAGGAACTTCTGCTTGAAGTCCAGGCAGAGTAACAAGGAAGAGAATTACCCTCCCAAATGAGATAAGTGAGACTCATACAAAATGCATGAAAGAGTATTTTCAAGGTGAAAGATATAAATAATAAAAGACAATGATCCATAAGAGGTGAGAAACAAATGAGACGGGTCTGCCCATTGTTCCAGATTCTTGAACTCGGAGTGTTCCCAAGCATGGAACAGAGAGAGGAAGCAGGTGAGGGTCTGTAGAGTCCCTAAGGCAAGGAGGCAGAGCTGAGAGTCGGGAAGACCAAGGCAGACAGCCTCACAAAGCAGAACAGAGGAGAGGAGAAAGGCACAGAAGGAACTTGGGAGACCTTCAAGGGTCCCCTTGAGCATGGAGCTGAGGACCTTATCACCTGGGAAAGCACCCAGAGCCAGCTCTGTGTTTGCATGGTGAGGGTCCACAGTGGTCTGCATGGAAGGGCTTTCAAAGGTGGGGCCTACCAGTCTTGGGTTATTGGTGGCACACCTTCAGAGGGAAAGGTGGGACCCTAGCATGGTATCTGTCTACTTGTACTCTCTCTCTCTCTCTCTCTCTTTCTCTCCCTCCCTCCCTCCTTCTCTCCCTTCTTCCCTCCCCCACCCCCTCCCTCTCTCCAGTTCCTATATGACCTTCTAACAAGATGTGAACTTCCAAAACTGAGAGCTGAATAAGCCCTTCCTTGCTTCATAAGCAGCCGGTGTCAGGCATTTCATTACAGTGATGGAAAGCTGACGTGTACAGCTAGGGAAACACTATATAAAAGGATCAGAAGGAATAGTAACCAGTGTTCACACAGGGCCAGAATGTGCCTGTTCTCACCTGCCAGTCTGCAAAACCTCATAAATCAAAATGCATTAGTAGAATCCTCAGGAGGCTCTTGCTTCTATTGTGAGGAATAAATAGCCATAGATTGATCACCACCCAGAACCTGCCTAAGCAATCTGAGACATAAGACCTAAAAGGATTAAACAGTCTCCACACAACTGAGCTGTACCGCACAACAAGAACATTTACAGAAATGCAAACTATCGTGCATCTGGGAAGGTGAAATGTACAATGTGTGGCAGCTAATAAAAATGACTGGCTATGGAAAGAGGACATGATCAGCAAATTGAAAATACTCCAGGACACAGATGTTCGAGTTAGCAGAAAATAGCATTATAATGGTTATTGTGATTGTATTCAATATGTTCAAAAAATTAGGCAGAGACATAAAAAATACAAAAATTTAAAAACAAAATGAGTATCAGTGAGTTGTGGGACAACTTGAAACAACCCAATGAATATGTAATTAGTGTTCTGAAAAAGAGGGCCACACAGAAAATTCAGTTGAATAGTAACCAGAAATTCCTCAACCTACACATATGCTGAACAAACGCTAAGCTTAGTAAACATGAAGAAAGCAAGCAGCATGACATCATGAACTTTCTCAATACCAGTGATAGAGAGAATATTGTGAAAGTGATGAGAAGACAAACATGAATCACACAAGGGGATAAAAATAAGGGTGATGGTTGGTTTCTCACTGAAATGATGTAAGCAGCATATACTGAAGCAACACTCTTTTTTACAAAACTAAAAACTGTCAATACAGGATTCTATAGACCACAAAAATATATTTCAGAAGTACAATAAAGATTTTCTCTAAACATACAGAAGTTTATAAGAGGCAAACAGATTAGAAAGAAAGCAAAACTTCCCACAAAGAAAAATTCAGGTCCAGATAGCTTTATGGGTGAAGCCTACCAAACATTTAAGGAAGAAATAATATCAAATTTTGTAAATGTTTGAGAACAATGAAAAAGAAAAAAATATTTCTGAATTCACTTGAAAAAAACCCTTGCCAAAATATATAAAAATTTAAACATACACCCACCAAAGAATAAAGCTCAGTATAAGATGCCAATACCTAATTGACCTATAGATTTAATAGACTCCAAATCAATATCCCAACTGACTTTATTGTAGAAAGTGACAAACTGATTATACATTCACATGGAGATGAAAAGAACACAGAAGAGTGAAAATAACTTTGAAAATATTGGAGAACTAACACTGCCTGTATTGGTCAGCGCTTACTACAGGCAGATGTAGAAGAGTGCAAAATGTCTGTCTGTGCACTAGAGACCGGAAGGATCCAGTCGAGGGCTTGGAGTCCCCGGCAATGTTCCATGCAAGTCCGTATCAGGAAGCTGAAGAATCTGAGATGGGAGGCAGAAGGATCTGCGCCAGAAAGGCCCAAGGGCCAGCACAGGACGCTGAAGTGTTTGTGCCTAAAGGCTGAAGGATCTGAGCCAGAAGGCTGAGGGATCTGCAAGGGAAACCAGGAGACGATGTCCAAGATGAAGACAAGGATTGAGGCGCCCCCTAAGGAAGAAAGCAGCCAAAGCTCCTTTGAAGAAAACAACACTGAAACTGCCCCCAAGAAACACCTCCACAACAAAGCTCTTCCAAGGAAGATCAGCTGAAATCCTCCCCTCCCGTTCTCCTTTTATACCATTCAACAACCATCCAACAAGCCTCCTTAGAGTGCTCCACGTCCAGAACCATGCTGACTCAGTTCAGCTGGGCAGTCCCCGCTCAAGTTGAAAATTAGTCAGTTAACCATCTGTTATGGTTTGTGTCTGGACATCCCCCACAAAGCCTCATGCAGTCATGGGGCTGCTTCTAGAGTTTATGATTGATTCATGGTTGTGAGCGCTACACCTGCCCTGGGGTGGGTAGTTTGCATACAATGTAAGGGAGGGAAAGTAGCTGTTTGCAGCCTTTCCTCCCTTTTGTTTTTGTTGATTTGTTGTCTTCCAAGGCCATGAACCGGTGAATGGCTGCCCTCTGTCGTGTGCCACTCTGCCTTGGAGCCAGCTAAGCATGGACTGAAACCTTCACAAACTGTAAGATAAATCTTTCCTTCCTTAATTCTGGGTGTCAGATATTTTGTCTCATCAATAAGAGAAAAGTAACTAAGACACTACCACACTACCTAATTTTAAGATTTATTATAAAATTGTGGTAACCACCAAGGCACAAGGTGGTATTATAAAAATAAGCAAATAACAAAATGGAATTGAGAGTTCAGAAGGAAACCCATATATACAGTGACAATGATTTTTGACAAAGTTACAAAGGCAACACTGTAGAGAAAGGGTAATCTTTTTAATAGATGGGGCTGAAATAATAAGGTATTGATATGCAGAGGCAAGAGCTTTAATCCATACCTTGCAATATATACAAAACTTAACTGAAAATATGTCATAGATCTGTTAAACTAATACAGTCAGAATCATAGATGAAGGACTCTGTGCTATTCTTTATGACGCTGAGCAAAGTCAGAGTTTCTTAGACGGTACACCAAAATTACAAACCATGAAAGAACAATTGAGAAGTTGGACTTCATCAAAATTAAAACTTCTGCTCATTAAAAGATACTGTTAAGAGATGAAAAACATAACCTATAAAATAATAGCAAATAGTTTCAAAGCTTATATACATATAAAGAAAATAACCTAATAAATATGTTCAAAATATCTGAATAAACAGCTCAGCAAAGACTATGTGGCACATAGACACCTGGCAAGGTGTGCAACGTCATGAGACACTAGCCAAAGTGTAAAGTAAGACCGTATGGAGCTACCACAACACGTTACTGGATGAGACCACAATGAAAAATTTCCCCCGTCAAGCAGAGTCAAGCAGCATGTGAAGACCCAGGGGAACAGAAACTGTACTGTACTCACCTTACCCACCTTGGGAAAGACTTCCGGCAATTTCTTAAATGTACCAGCTAACCCAAGTGTCTTGGTTACCTTTCTCTCATTGCTGAGACAAAATACCTGTCACCCAAAATTAAGGAAGGAAAGGTTTATTTAGCTCACGGTCTGTGGAGGTTTCAGTCCATACTCGGCTGGCTCCAAGGGAGAGTGGCACATGGCAGAGGGCAACCATTCATGGTGGGGGAAGACAGCAAAAGAGAGCAAAATAGGGGAGCAGTGGCAAGCAGCTGCTTTCCTTCCCTTACGTTGTCTGCAACCTACCCACCCCAGGGCAGGTGTAGCTCTCACACCCATAATTCCAACACTGGGCCATGGATCAATCATAAACTCTAGAAGCCCACCCCATGACTGCATGAGGCTTTGGGGAGACATCCAGATACAAACCATAACACCAAGATAAATGGAAAATTATATCCACACAGAGATTTGCACATGAGTCTTTACATAGTTTTATTTGCAACTCAAAATGTGAAAACATCCATGGGTGGGTGAAATGCATTCTGTGTGTCCATATAATGAAATCCTATTCAGCAGTAAGAAGAAATAGAGCACTAATACACGTCACAAGACAGACAAACACAAGAACATGTATGCTACATGGAAGAAACCAGAAGGACAAGACCATATCCTGCTTATTCCCTTGATATGAAATGTCGGAAAAGACAAGCGTGTAGAGATAGTTGAGGGCCGCCTGCATCTCCAACAGGAACAGGGAGGGACGGCAAGAGGCACACGCTGCCTTGAGGGTGGTGGTAGGAGCGCTCCAGTGCAGCACAGCTCTGAACAGTTATAAATGAACGGATCGCCCCCTTACAACGGGTGAAATTTATGACATGGAAGGTGCTCCTTTAAAAGCAGCATTTTACCAGCTTTGAATGAATGCTATCAATAGTGAACAACATGGATGAACCTCAAAATAGTTATATTGATTGCAAGGCAAATAAGAAGCAGGACTCCAGTGTAGGACTTCACTTATGTGCAATTCCAAACAGTTCAAACTCATACACAGTGACAGAGGGTAGGACAGGGTTCCAGGGCTGCTGGGGGAAGGGGAGAACGCATGCAAAGGTGGAGGCAAGATACAAGGCAGACTACTGGTTTCTTAGTTTGCAAAAAGGAAGGTTTGCGCTAATATCCTTTGGAGAATTTTTTATGCTCATATTTTGTACTCTGAGTAACTACTTTAAAGATAACAACACTCAGTGTATTAACTGTTGTTATTCTCCTATGATTTTGTCATGAAATTTTGTTTTACTTTTTTTCCATTGAAAAAAGAAGAAACTCAGGTGATGGAGACGTTCACCATCTCGCTGTGGTGAGGGGCTTGTGTGCATACACACGGAGTCAAAATGTCAAAGTCATTGCCACAATGACTTTGCATCAGTTCGACCCCAATAAAGCGTTTTTTCAAAAGTGATATGAATATGGTAATTATGAAAAATAAAATTAGCTGTTAGAATAGTGGGATTCAGAGTGACGTTTTTCACTTCAAATTTTTTAACTTGTCATTGCATTATATTATCAGTAACTAAGTTAACCGTGTTTTTAGAAATAGTTTATTGCTGATAATCAGAGCAACTACTGTGAAGGTAACGGTATGCAATATAACAACCGTTGTTAATTTCCTTTTCCCTTGTTTTGAAGTTCTGTATCGTTTTTATTGTTTTTGCTTATTTTGTTTTTGCCTTTGTTTTTTTGTTTGGGTTGTTTTTTTTTCTATTTAAAAAAAGAGTTTATTGCTTAAATAAAAAGGAAGGCGTGTGCGGGGAGCGGCGAGGCCAAGAGAAGGCGACCCGGCTGCTCCTGCAGTTGGATTCTGAGGCCCAGCAGGAGCCACCGGGCGGGAAGAGGCTTCTGCAGGTCCAGCAGAACCCAGAGGATGCACGCCGTGCAGGAGCTTGCTGCCTGTTCCCCTGGGGTGGAAGCAAGGTGAAAGTGCACCGCGAGCTGGGAAACAGAGGCACAGGCAGACGACTTCTCGGGGGAAGGAGGGACTTGAGTGATCTTCGCTCAGGTACTGACCTCCAAGGAGGTTCTGGCTGTTTCCACTCCCTCTCTCCTGCCTTCACCATGGCAACGGCACGCCCTGCTTGCTGCCCTACAGGAGCTCAGAGGGCTCCGGGGCGCGGGTGCAAGCGGCCCCTGAGCTGTGGTCAGAAACCGCCCTTCGCGCCACCAGCGCTGGGCAGGCCCCTTGGGCGCGCTCTCCACGCTGTTGCAAGTCCTGAACCCGTGCGCTGCAGCCAGCTCCCCGGCAGCCTCTGCCCGCACCTCAGAGGAGGACCCGCTCAGGAAGCTTCTGCCAAGCCTCGAGCTCTTCTCTTCCAGCAGGCTGCATCCTTCCCCGTCTGTATTTTTCCACTCAGTCTCCCAGCCCCTGAAGTCTTCCTGCTGCTGGCCAGTGACCCGGTCTCAGGGGTCAACGTGCTGGGGTCTGGCTCAGCAGGGCAGCTGCCCCAGGATCCAGCGTCTGGCAGCACAACGGCCCCCGGGCCACCTTCCCCAGAGCCCCAGCCCCCGGATGCCCCTGTCCCCGAGGACACAGAGCTAGGGTCCCAACAGGCCCTGTGCCTGCGTCCAGCGCAGCTCTCCAATGAATCGGACACACTGCCTGAGGGAGTCAAACGCAGGAAGCGGCAATTTCATATTTCTTTGCAGCACTGAAATATCTCCAACTAACCCACCAGTAAGTGTAGGTGTTTATATTACTTCTTTAATGTTGATTTTTGGAATTTTACGCCAATTATACACTAATTCTTTCACCTAGACACAACTGCTTTTTCTCAGTGACGTTTTCCATCTTTAATCATAGCTAAGTATTTTTCCATACCTGGATGATAATAAAAAATTTGATGTACTGCTGTTCTTTTCTTATATTCCTTATGTGGTAAATATTTTTCTAGTTTCCTGTCTCAGGTTTATACATCATAAAGTTGATTCATGCATTGGATTATGAAGCTACAGGTTATTCAGTCTTACTCTAATTGTTGATTTTTACTGCTCTTGCTTACTGTTATGGGAATACTGAATAATGCATCCTTGCACAAATAACATTTGTCTTCTTTTAAATTATTTTTGTGTGAAAATATCCCCATACGGGGTTTCCCAAACTTAAGCTAAAGTATTTTAATGCTACCTAAAATATTATCCTACTGAAGGCCCAAGCCCATTAATAGTGTCATTTCTACCACACAAACACCTTTCTTTTAAGATTCATCGACTTCCTTTGGAACTGGGTTTATTTTCAGGTATGCAGTTTACAGGAAAACTAACTGCTATGTTTTTACTTATCAATAAATGTTAAGTACATTTTCTTTTGTGTGACGTATTTGTGCATGCATGTATGTGTGTATTTGTCTATGGCAGTCTTGACGGCAGTTTTAGAGATGTTATAAGCTCTTTAACTGTTTTATATGCTAAATCTCCATCTGCTATATTAGAAGATTTGAAAAATATCAGACACAGAAGAATATTAAATAATATATCCATAGGATGCTTAAAATTCCTACAATTACTTAAAACAAAACATGTAAACTTGCTACTCTACATTTAAACTTGCCTTTATTTTGTTGTAATTCTACAGATGTTTGGGTTTTATTTAAACACCTCTGCCTGTGCTTTTTTCATAACTTCAATAATCTAACCCAGTTTCTCTATTTGACTAAATAATCAAACTACCTCTTTGTATGATTTACTTTATTACAATTTTTTGCCATATTGAAGTAAAGTTATTCTCAACAGCATGAGTAAAATAATTGTTCTTTATAATTGTATTATATTCATTTTCCATATATTATATTTTCATATGTACTTAAAATTATTAATGCATACTCTATGTTATGTCCATAGTCTATATTTCTCTTTTTAATTCAGTGTCACCCTCATTCAGCCATTGTTTTGTAAAACAATCTACTTTGTGAGATAATTATTATTTCTTCATTAGCACTCTGGTATTCCTATCTTTCCAAGTATACTGTGGAATCAATTGTTTTGAATTCTATAAGATGTCAATAACCCTGGCATTTTAATTGAAGTTATATTAAAACTACAAATTAAACTACCAGTAATTCCCTCCTCCTTTGTTCTTCTATCTAGAAGGAGGGCATATTTCTACACATATTCGAGGGTTTTTTAACCATTAATTTTTTTTAGAATTTTAGATATATATTATAGAGCCTCACACAAGTTAATTAGCACACAATTCAATTTTGTGGCTATCATAAATTGGAGGTCCTTTATTATTTTATTTTTAGCTGCCTAATGAAGGTACTCGGGTAGCAGATGGATTTGTGTTATTGTATCTCTTGCCCAGCAGTTTTCTTTCCTGTTCTATTATCTCTAATAGTTTTGGGGTCGATTACTTTAGCTCTTCGAGGTGTATAATCATACAGTCTTCTAGTAGTGATCCTTGTAAATCTCCTTTCTTTTTTACACTGTATTACGCAGACAATAAAATAGAAATCTCTGTAATATAGTTTACTCCTTCCTCCCTATTTCTCACCCCAACAAGAAACTCACACACCACATCTGATCGGGCACCAAACCCTGCGGCTCTCCCTTTGCGGCTCCAGAACCTGTCCCTGCCACGCCTTCCTCCGCCTTCTTGCGATGGCTTCCTGATCAGTCCAGAAGAGCAGCCTCGGAGACCTCCAGGAACATCCATCCGGTGTCCCACTTCTGCCCAACATCCTCCAAATTCCTCACGGTTCCTTCCAAAGTCGTGCTTGACCTCACGCTTCCATCTGTCTGACTTGATCTTCAGCTCAGCCCCGTTTCTTCTTTCCGGGCCTCGGGGTTCCCCGCCATGCTGCGCACATACAAGACGCGCCTGCGCCTCCGGGCCTTTGCGCCTGCTGGTTTCTTTGCCAGGAAAGCCTTTCCTAGGCAACCACGTGGCGCACCTACTCTACGTGCTGCTCCAGTGTCAGCTCCACGAACCCTCCAACCCCAGTTGTAACCCTCCCTCCCTCCCCTCTGCGCTCCCTAAACTTTTCTTGTTCGACTCTATTTTTCTTTATTAAATTTCTCACCATTTGATTGTCTATATATGTACTTATTTCTTGTCTTCCTTATGCGCACGCGTGTGCGCACACACACACACACACATACACACACACACATAAGTACACACACACTCAAACTGAAAGCTTCAGAAAGCAAGGATTTCTCCCACTTTCCTCATGACTGTACCCTGAGCACTGGAAGACAAATGCTCAACGAATAATTGCGCAGGTTGAAAGCCCACCTACGTTTCGTACCAGGCTGAGGATGAACCATGATGAAATAGCCAAACTCAGTATGATTTGTATCTACAATATTATTAAGTGGACTTCATATTATACTGGGGAAGAATACTTTATACCCGACTTTTACGGATTCAGTTAAGTGCTAAGTTTTATTAAACACTTAATCAGACAGATGTAATTTTATGTTAGATCCTTCAAGTGAGGGCTAATATATTTCACTAAAGAATTTCTCCCTCAAATTATTAAATAACCTTAATCTCTAGGGATAGTCCCCAAAAAAGTAAATATGTCATTCAGCTGGGCTTATTGCCTTCTCATGGATAAAAGCCAATTCCTGATATACCAGAGATCAAAGAAGAGGAAAGCCTAATGATTTACTCAGCTTGAAAAATAAGGAAAAAATGCTTTGCTGACGTATTTCACATTGACCCCTGTGAGCGTCTTATTTGTGTATATGCCATAGATTAACGCTTGCTTCTGAATTAGTTCACTGCGTTCCTGCTAAGAACAACTATTCTTATGCAGATAATGCTTCATAGTCACATTACACAGCTTGTGAGTTATAATATTTTCAGCCTCTTCTATTGTCTGTTTTACCAATAGGCTATTTTCCTCTTCCTTGTTATCGCCTACAAATAACAGGCACTCTGGTGAAAAGAAACGAAAAGTAAGTTTATCCATTCAGATTTATATTCTAACTGACATTTATAATTCCACAAGAAAAAGTATCAATGACTTTAATGAATAAGTTACACTAGCCTATGTCTTTTAGGAAATGATAAAAAGCCCGATATTTACCAGAGGATAAGATTCCTTATACTTACAAATGATTTTTTGGGTGTTGTTTTTTATACTTTCAGTATTAAAATAACAATTGAAATTTTAACCTGGCTGGAAATATTTTGTCAGTTTTAGTTAGATTTTGTGTCATTCCATATCAATGCAATCTCTCACTTCTGAAAATTAGTATTATGGTCATAATTTGTTTCAAGTAAAAGCTGTTTCTGACAGCACATGGACCCATTTCTTTGTCATTTATTAAACATACAATAGAAAAGCGTTACTTTTAAAAATGCTGACAGCATGGAGCTGGGGATTTAGCTCAGCGGCAAAGCGCCTGCCTGGCAAGCGCAAGGTTGTGAGTTCGGTTCCCGGTACCGGAGAAAAACCTAAAAAAAAAAAAAAAAAAATGCTGACAGCCACCAGCTCAGACAGGTGACCAGGGGCAACACTGGCATCAGGTCATACTGCGAGCGTAGACCCTCCGTATGCTGTGACAGAAATGGCACCTCACCCCTGCAGTCTTCCTTTCTAAAGCAAGAAGGGCAGTCGAAGCAAGAGAAAAGCGGCAGGCGAGCCCCAGTTGAAGGATGTTCTATAACAGTTCCTGAACAGTCGTTCTCGAAACTGTCATGTTGGTCATTTGCCATTGCTGGAACAATACACCTGACACCCACAACCTAAAGGAGCAGGCGTTTACTTTGGCCCATGCAGCTCTGGAGATTCAGTCTATGCTTAGCTCCAAGGCAGCAGAAGGCTACTCACCTCCAGACAGCCAGGAGGTAGAAAGGGAAAGCAGGAGCGGGGAGGAGGTTCACCCCCAAAAGCACAGCCCAGGGGCCCGCCTTTCCCAACACGTTCCATCTCCTAATAGCACATTCGGCTCTGACCTCGTCAACGGATCAATCTGTTAATGAGTAGAGCACCCCATAATCCAGACACCCTCCAAAACCCTCACCTCTGAACACAGAGAATTTGGGGGCCATGTTAGATCTATACCATGAAAACTGTTGAGTTGTTGTGACAACTGCCCACAACTTTAAACCAAGAAAAGTCCGAGAAAATGTCACAGGCAAAAGGATTCTAAGCACACAGGATGGTAAAGGTGATGAGGTAGCCTGGATGGGGCCTGAGCATAGAAGAAACACGCTAGGGAAGAAGGAAGAAAAACTGAGTAAAGTGTGGTTACTTAGTTAACAATTATGAGTCAATGCTGGTTCATGAACTGGGGCACTGCACCCTAAGAAATAAGATGCTGACAGCAGGGCAGGTCGGGCAGAGTACAGAGGAGCTCTCGGTGTCATCTTTCCAGTTTCTCTCTCAGCCTAAAATTGTTCTGAAGTAAAAATTGTTAAAGTAGAATTGTTAATATGGCTCAAACTCGGCTGAGATTTTTAACTTTCATTAAGCTTGTTTTCACAGTTTATGATGAAAGAGCTCTAAACCCCTAAGTAAAGAATGGCATACAATGTCATATAGGTAAGTGATAATATATATTTAGGTATGCGTTTCCTTCAATTTGTGATTTCAAAGTAATGTTTAACTTGAACTGTCTAGATGATTGTTTTCATAGTCTATGTTCCTTACATTTGTGAAAGTAACCTATCTTTGTAAAAATCCAAACAACAAAATAATGAATCTAAACAAGTAGAGACTAACATTTGTTCTAACTAATCAATGGAACAGCAAACAAAGTACAGAATGGACTCAGCTATCATTAAATGAATAGTATGACAATATCTTTGAAAACTGATGATCCCTTTGTAGAGTATAGATGGTTGGATTTTCTTTCTGTAAATCTTTACTTTTTGTGTATATAAGGCAATGCATATCTCTAGAAAGAGAAAACTACACAGCACATCCATGAGTTTCAAACCAAAGATATCCTAGAAAACAACTATTAGCTGGCCAGGTGATAACCACAAATCAGACAGGTCTGTGCCTAGTGGAGCAATCAGAAACAGAGCATTGGCCAGAAGGAAAACTACCTGCACTGACCACTGAGGATAACCATATGACAAGTGTATGGGAGCTGAAGGAACTGATCCCTATCAGAGCAATAGGTTGAACACATATACACCAAAAGTGAAGTTAGAACTTTTACTCATCATCCCAAGCCAACATCAAGATAGGCCAGCAAGTAACTGAGAGCAACAAGTTTGGGGTTATAGCTTGCATTGCTATATGTCATTAGGGAGACAAATCCCTAAACTGTGGCTTTTCCACATCTGTATCTTTCAGGGTATACCTTCCATTTTTCCCTCCAACAGCATCAAAATTGGGCATTTCCTAACAGCATGTCTGAATATAAGAGGGTGAAAGAGGGGTTGGAGGTGAATCTCAGGAGGAATTTCCAAGGTCTAACTCCTATGACCACTTGCAAATTCACCAACTTGCCATACAATAAAATGATTTGGGAGGTTGTGGGTGTAGCTCAGTGGTAGAGCATGTGCTTAGCATGGATGAGACCCTAGGTTCAATCCTAGCACCAAAATAAATACATTTTAAATATTTGCAATATTCACCAGTGTATAAAGATGATAATATTGTCTCATAGGAATGTACTAAATATCACCAATATTAGTATTTCATGGGCATGTACTAAATATGATTTTTCCATTAAAGATCTCAAAAAGATCTTTAATAGAAGTATTTCCCCTTTAATACTAAAAATATTAAAAGAGAAGATAGCTAATAAATTAACCATATGCATATAGGAAAATTTTCTATCCCAGGATATTTTTTAAAACAACGTTATTCAAATGATGTAATATAGAAACAAGAGGGAGTTAAAAATAAAAATAATCTAAAGGAAAAAGTGTAATGCGTTCTCCCCATTCTTTCCTAAACATTTCTATGCCCTCTCATGAAATAATGGTCATAAAGTGCTTTATTTTCATAGTTGTAACTTAATTTTATCCATCAATTCCAACTGCAGAGGTGATTTTTTCCAGAGCGCCCAATGGACAGACTCGTGTTAACACTGAATTTAAGTACTATGTTTCTGCTCCAGAAATACTCAAACCAGCAGTGGTAACCAGCACGCTAGTCCTTCTCTTGGTTGGTAATAAAGGGCCTGGAAACCCCTGAACCCGTACAAGGTGAGAAAAGGAGATAGTTGAGAATGGGAAAACAATCTTTACTCCCCACTTTTGGTAGAGTAAAAGCTAAGAAATAATTGTAGAACATCTGAAGGGAAATCCCCTGCCCACACCACCACAATGGCTAAGTTTAGGTGCCAACTTAACTGGATCAAGGAACACCTAGAAGCATGGGAAAGGTAGTATTCTGGGTGTGGCTGCGAGGGTGTTCCCGGAGGAGGTCAACCAGTGCGTGGGAGGGTGTAGGTGGGGAAGCCCCACCCTCAGGGTGGGCGGGCCCCACTCAGAGGGCAGGGACCAGAGAGAGTGAATACTGAAGGCAGATTGGTTCTACCCACTCCCCAGCCCTCGCGGGGAGCTGGGACAGCTCAGGGTTCTCAGGTTTTCTGCATCAAAATGAGACTTATGCTCAGCTTCCGGGTTCTGAAACCTTCCGACTTGGGCTGAGCCATGCCGTTAGTATCCCCGGTCTCCAGCCTGCAGATGGCCTATTGTGGGACTTGTGTATCATAATTATGTGAGCCAGTTCCCTAATAAATTTCTTCTCACATCTATCCATCTATCTATCAATCGATCAGTCTATATCTATTATCTATTTATCATCTATCTCTGATTGCTTTTGTCCCCTGGAGAATTCCAATACATGGTCCCATCAAGTTTCCCAAATGGAAACATAAATACAACCGAATGAGACTCTAAAAAATAAAAAGCAAAATAAAATAATTCATTTTATTTTATGATGCCCATAAGGTCAATAACAACTAGATAGTAAATTTTAGGCTGCTATAGTCATTTATTGTGTAATAGTCTTAACTATGGTGTCATGTCAAATATTAATGCTCTTGTATACCATTTGTTTATTCAGAATGAGAGTACATATACAAAGGTTGAGGGTCTACTTGAATTACTAGTTTTGTCCTTTTTGTGGTTTATAGCTGTTCTTGAGGTAGGTGCCGAGTATGAATGGAATGTGATTAGGACTAATTTCACATAACGTCTATCCACCCCTCTCATTTTTTCCACCAAAGTGATCAAACAGTTCACTTCGTCCAATTACCTGTTCTCAAAGGCCCTGACAAGCTATTTTTAGGTTCACATACTTGCTGAAGAGTTTTATATACACAATTCTCTCTGCTGTGGAACTTGCCAGGGGACGGCATCACCGAGCATTGAAAGTCCATTCCAAAGCCTTCATTTACATCCTGGGTCACGCGAGTGCTTCCTCCCAGGAGCGCCATGGCTGTTCTGTGTGGTTCCCCACACAGAATGGAAGTGCTCTGGGTAGGAAGCCCGCCAGTCAGGGAAGCCTGGCGCGCTGCCTGGGATGAATCCCTTGCTACATCCTTGAACAGGAGCCAGCACTGCCAGCAGGGAGTGGAGTCTTCAGGGTTTCCTGCGTTTTAGCCCCGAAGGAACACAGGAGAAATTACATCTCCAAGGGAAAAGAAAAAGGTGCCAGGTCATCAAGCCTGGCCAGCTTCATGGAAATTCAGGCAGTGTCCATTGCTTGCTGCGGCACTGAACACTAGGCTCCTGACCCCTTCCTACTCTCAGAATCTAATTCCCACTCCTTATGCCAAATAGAAGAAGAAACACATTCCCCCGAAGGCTGAGAATTTAAACAGCACTGGTGTCCTGGTAGACCTCTGGCAACTGGTTTATTAGAAATGTAAGTAACTGATTTTTCTTCTTGGGTTCCTCTTCCACCTCCCTTTTGGCATAGATTCCTAAAGTGGCAGGAAAATTTAAACAGCATATACAGGGCACGGAAATTGAAATTAGCTGGCCTATCAGTGGGCTTGGACCAGTGAAGTGAGCTGCCCGGGACCTGTGAGGCTTCTTGCCAGTCCCACGTCCTTAGCTGGTGAGTCCATTGATGTCTCAGAATGAGGCAATTAAAAGGCAGGGTGGCCTGGAGGTTCCGTCAAGCTTGATTTCAAAGGTTCTTGCAGGAAGAAGGGCCCTTAGAGCGAGCGAGGCCTCGAAGCAAACTGTCAACTGCATCCCTCCTTCCGGACTCTAAAGCACAGAGGGATACCATAGATCCATCTGACAAGTCCAGCTGCAAGACATCAGGGTGTTTCACAATGAGTTCACGTTCCGTGTGGGATTTTGTCAACAGAAGGATGTTTAGTTTTATGTGTTAACCTCATTAGGCAAAGGGATGCTGTTACAGTTTGTGTCTGGATGTCCCCTCAAAGCCTCATAAGGTCATGGGGGGCGGGCTTTCTGAAGACAGCTTGTTAAACCCGAATCTCTTGTTTTCATGCCCTCACCTCAGGAAACAGAGTTACAGCCTTTCCAGCTCAACTCAGCAGGGTGAGGGGGCCAGGATCCTCACTTTGTGAACATCCTCAGCCTGTGCAAGAGAAAGGCATGGAGATGACGTGAGTGCTACCCCTGCTCTAGGATAGGAAGCATGCTTACAGTATAAGGGAGGAAAAGAGGCTTGTTTTCTCCCTTTTTGCTCTTGCTGCTCTTGCTGTCTTTTTCTGCCTTGAACTGTTGCCCCTGTGCCACTCCACCCTGCCTTGGAGCCAGCTGATTATGGACTGAAACCTCCACAAACTGCAAGCTAAATAAACCTTTCCTCCTTTAATTTTTGGTGTCAGATATTTTGTCTCAGCAACGTGAGAAAAGTAACCAACTGTGGTGGATCGACAACTGGTGGTCAACTTGTGACACCCAGCTGAACCGAATCAGGCAGTTCTGGGTGTGGAGGGCGCACCTGAGGATTATTGCCAGCAGCATAAAAAGGAGAACTGGAGAAGAGGAGGTATGCTGCTGATTCTCTTGGGGAAACTTGTCACGCTGGCTTTCTTGATATGAACCCGGCTGTTCTCATTGTCAGAAGAGTTCAGGACTTCACTGTCACTAATAATGGCAGTGGTACTTTCTGGGGGAGCTCTGGTCCTTCCTTTGAGCACCACTTCCTGGCTCCAGTGCAGATCCTTCAGCCTCCTTGCAGAGATCCTTCATCCCACTGACACAGAGTTTCTAGCTTCCACTGCTGGTCTTTGGGCCTTTCCAGCGCAGATCTGAAACAGACCCATATGAGACATGGTTGTAGGCTCTAGGCCTCCAGTTGGACTTGTGAGGGGCATTGTCATCATGTAGGACATTGCCATGGGATCCAGGCCCTCAGCTGGATTTTTTGGATTGCTATTGTGTGGCCAGTTTTCCTGCACTCTTTTCTGTTTGATCTTTGGGTGACTACTATAAAATAATCCTATAAATTATGTGTCCTGTATTAAATTGTTTCCCTTGCAAACCCTGGCTACAACACCAGGCAGATGCCCAGATAGCTAGAAAAACACTGTGAGTGTATCTGGGAGGGTTAATCCAGAAGAATTTAGCAATTTCAATAGTGGACTGAATAAAAGTCTTTTCACCAATGTGAGTAGTCATCATCCAGTCTGCCGAGGACCTGGCAGAACAGAAAGGTGGAGGGTGGCTGCCTTCTCCCTCTCTAGTAGGACTGAGACATCCATCTCCTCCATCCCTTGGAAATCTGAGCTTCTATTCCTCAGGCTTTAGGGCTTGGACTGAATCACACCACCAGCTTTCCTGGTTTTCCAGCTGATAGGCAGCAGATGTGGGACTTCTTGACCTCCATAACTGAGTGAACCAATTCTCATAATAAATCTCTCCCTCCCTCTCTTCTCCTTCTCCTTCTCCTTCTCCTTCTCCTTCTCCTTCTCCTTCTCCTTCTCCTTCTTCTTCTTCTTCTTCTTCTTCTTCTTCTTCTTCTTC